GTCTCGAAAAAAAAAAAAAAAAAGGAAGAAGACTGGGAAAGATGGAAATTTTTCAAATACTGAGAGCTTAGGGACATTGCAGAGGTGCTAGTTGAGTGGTCTGTAATTTGTTAGTTAGGTGAAGTTGCCAGTCATAGGCATAAATCATGAGCTATAGGAAAGTAGAAAAAGGTCTGGAATAGCTGGTGTAAGGAATTGGAAGTAAACCATCAGGAAGGCACAATAGACGTGCTGAGCAGCAAGGAAAGCTTAGCTGAAATTAGCTAGCATTGATCATGGCTCAAACTACCATGACTTTGTGGTTTCATCATCTATTATAATACAAACTTCAGTTTTGCAAAAGGTCGAAGAGATTTCATTTTTAAAATGTAATTAATTTTCCTATAAAAACAGTCCATGAATATGAATTGCAAGCCATTAGTGGCAAACAAAAAATAGTAAGTTTATCCAGAAGTGTACTTGGTGTTAAACCACCTGACTTTAGTATGGTAGTTCAGTATGGCCTAAGGATATTGGTCATGTAGTTACCAGTGTGAGTGTATAGTTGAGAATTTCCTTACATGTAGTCTCCTTTCTCTATGAGGATTATTTTTCTGGAGCAATTATTTTTCTTCTTTGTAGATGTTGTGAAATTGACCATGATCTTTTTTAAAGCTAACAACTGAGGGAAAAAAATCTGGATCTACTTTTCATTAAGGCATAAAACTTGCTTCTTCTCATATGTTATCTTGTTACATTTTACATACCCTAGAAGCCACTTTAAATGCCTTTCTGGAACAAGACAATGAATATTAACATGCAAATATTCAAGTAACTTAATACTTGAAATAATTTTTTTTTAAGCACTCCCACGCTCTTGCTCTGGATAGAGTGCTGTGCCATCATAGCTCACACCAATCTCAAACTGTTGGGCTCAAGTGATCCTCTTGCCTCAGCCTCCCAAGTAGCTGGGATTACAGGTGCCCACCACAACACCTGGCTAGTTTTTCTGTTTTTAATAGAGATAGGGTCTCTCTCTTGCTCAGGCTGGTCTTGAACTCCTGAGCTCAGGTGATCCTCCCGCCTCAGCCTCCCAGAGTGCTTAGTATTACAGGCATGAGCCACCATGGCCAGACTTGAAATAAGTATTAAATAAAAAGCATGTCTGCAGTACAAGGCCTCAAGACCCCCAAAAGCTTTATCTTATAACTTTCCATTTAAGGACACTGGATGGTAGTTAAATATTGAGTGGAAAGCCAAACTTATAACCACAGAGAATAACAGTATCAGAGGAAAAGTCAAGACTCAGCTGGATGTTAGCCATAATTCTTTTTGTAAGGGGACATTTAGCTTAACTCTCTGAGAATTTAAGAAAAGCCATTTGGCCTATTTTAGAGGCTTTTTTGAGACAGAGTCTCACTATGTCACTCTTGGTAGAGTGCCGTGGCTTCACAGCTCACCGCAACCACTAACTCTTGGGCTTAAGCGACTCTTACCTCAGCCTCCCAAATAACTGGGGCTACAGGAACCCACCACAACACCCAGCTATTTTTTTGTTGTTGTCATTGTTGTTTAGCTAGCCCAGGCCAGGTTTGAACCCACCAGCCTGGGTGTATGTCACCAGCGCCCTAGCCACTGAGCTGCAGGCAGAGTTCCCCCCCCTTTTGTTTTTTGAGACAGGGTTTCTCTTGCTCTGGGTAAAGTGCAGTGGCATGAGCATAGCTCACTGCAACCTCAAAGCTATTTTCCTGTCTCAGTCTCCTGAGTAGCTGGGACTGTAAGTGGATATTACCATGCCCAATAGATTTTTCTATTTTTTGTAGAGACAGGGTCTCACCTTTTGCTTAGGCTGATCTCGAACTCCCGAACTCAAGCCATCTCCTGCCTCTGCCCCACCTGCTCAGAGTACTAGGAGTATAGCCTATAGCCACTACACCCAGCCTTTACAGGCTTCATTTCCAACTCATTAACACTATCTAAAATCAGTATGTGGTGGCAAAGAAGGTGGGCTCCAGACCCAGACTACCTTGTTTCAAAATCCCAGTCCATCACTTGAGCTGTGTGACCTTGGACAAAATTAACTTGTTTCCTAGCTTGAAAGATGTTGATGACAGTACCTAGCTTGTAAGACTTCCAGGATTTACTAAGTTGATATTAAGGTGCTCAGAATGGTATCTGTAACATTTTAAGCACACAAAATATCAGTAACTATACTATTTACTTTGGCCTTACACTTGGTAAGACTCATGAGCTTCTTAGGGTTCCTGCCAAAACTCTGGACTCAAAACAAGCCAATGAGAGCAGCTGCGTTCCAGAAGCCCAATCTAATGTGTACCTAAAATCCGAAGAGAAGGCTTTCAATTGCCCTGAGAAATACCTGTGTAAATCAAACCTTTAATTCAAAAAAGTGCTCATTATGGCACTATGCACAGGTTTGATACCATACTTCCATATGAATTGGCTTCTACTAAAGCCCTATGAAATTCGTTTATTATTAAGTGGAAATTTACAGAAGGCCTACTATATTAGGCACTGTGATAAGTTTTAAATAACACAAACTACTAAAAAAACAACACAATTGCACTTTCCCCCCTCATTGCTTCAAACTATCATAGTAAAATAAAAGCTCCTAGACATTGCCAAAATGTGCTTTTAGTGTTACATCTGTTATGAATTTAATGGAAATTACAAGTAGGAGACTATCACAATCTCAAACCTTAAAATACTGAATATATACAGTGCGACAATAATAAGTAAACTTTGGGTTCCTATTAGCTGGAAACAGTCCCACATGGAAAGTATTTGGTAGGAGTGAAGAACAGAGTGACAACTGCTTAGTCCCACAGGATCTTTCGCTCTTCTTCAGGAAGAATACTCCAGTTCGGGGAGGCGACATCCCGGGCCAGCCAGTTGAAATCGTCAACGTCGGTCCAGTTATTTTTGTTCCTATCTAAGCCAGAACCCTCGAAGTCCTTGTCGATCCCCGGGTAGGTCCAGGTGTAAGGAGCGAACTGAATCCCACTGCAGTCCTCCACAATAGCCCTGCTGATGACCTGCAGGAAAATGCGGGTGTCTTTCGTGCTGTGTATGCGGAGCTGTTGGCAGGCCACAGCCAGCACGCAGTCACTGCAGTCCTCCAGGAACACAGAGGTGGACACTGGGCCGCAGAGCAGCTTGCAGCTGCGGGCCTTGGTCAACCTCAGGGTGTTCGGATTGCCATACAGCTTGATCGTGCAGTTGCTCAGTTCGGTCAAAAGGACGTCGCGCTGGTGCAGCTCGTCGGCTTTCTTCTCCAATACTTGAGACTCCAAATTGGAGAAACCACAGACCCAGCTGGAGCCGAAGCCTCCCTCCTTCTTTAAGGGCAGCGGGGAGGCCAGGCTGCTTCCCGTCGCCGGGGCGCCAGAAGCTGCGTCCACTTTGGTGGACGAAGTAGTATCCTTTCTCCGAGTCTTGAAAGCGAAACGCTTCTTGGGCTGCAATTCCTCACGCCGCTCGGCTAGGGCCGCCTGCAGCCGCGCCAGTGTCGCTTGTCCCTGCCGTAGGTCGTAGGCGGCTAGGAACAAAACCGAGTCGTTGAGAAGTTTCTGCAGCCCCTGGAGCCGAGAGGCTGCCTCCTCCAGCCGCTCGACTGACTCCCCGCCTTTCAGAAGCTCTTCCACGGCCGCTCGCTCCCGAGAGAAGGCTGCAATGAAAAAGTCGCTCTTCTCTTCCTCCACCTCCTGGTTCTGCCGCTTTTGCTTCCGCTTTTCCACCTCCAGTTGCCGCTCTTGTTCGCGTCTCTGAAGCCGTTCAGGCACCAGGCTCATGTCCCTCTGGGCCGCCAGGGTCCCGTTCCCCACAGCGGCAACAGAACGACTAGCAGCCTCCATCTTGACTCCAAGTTTCCTCTCTCCAGCTTTCCTTCCTCCGGGCGCGCCCTCCGAGAGGCCTCCCACCAATGCGTCCTGTGATTGGCCGGCTTTACTGACGTCAGACTCCGGCCTTATTTTCTTCGCCTATTGGTTCCACTGCACAGGGGAGCAAGGAGACGGGGCGGGGCCTACTGACAGTGGGGGTGGGGAGACAAAGGTCCTTGCAGATGGGTGGGGTGGGAGGCAGGCGGGGGAAGCTTTTTTTCCTCTTAAAGTGGCAGGACTTATATCCGGGATTGTGGGGTGAGTTGCAGCAGCGGCAGCTGCACATGTGGGTTTGTTTATAAGAACAAGGTTAGAAACTCGCAAGCCTCCCCCTCCCCCCAGCTCCTCCCTACTACCCCTTTACAAGCTGAAGATCCGCTTCTTGTGGGGGATGTGTGGGAGGAATATGTACGTGTCTTCGGTTTGGGGGACAGGTACTGGCGAGAAAGATGGAGGGGGGGGAAAATATTGCACCGCCCGGCCCGCGCCGGAGGAAGTAGCAGCTGGAACAGCTGGCTAGGGAGCCGCCTGCATGTCTCTGTTTTTTTCTTTTCCCTTCCACTACCTCTTCCCTCAACCCAATCCTGCCGCCCCATCACCCTCATCCTCCCCCCCTCCACTGCAGTTCGGCGCGGCCTGGGGGCTCCTGGGTCCCCGCAGGCAGTTACTGGGGCGAGAGAAGGCAAGGGGGCGCCGCGATGGGAGAGACCGAGTTCCTCACTGCTACCCGGTTCGAGGGGCCCTGGGGGAGTCTAAAAACAGTTACTATTTTTTTGGCCAGTTACTGCAGTTGGAGTGGTGGGGGCGGGGGAGGGCGAGATTCCACACCCCCTTCCTCTTCCGTCCTCCCCCCCCTCACCCAGCCACTCCCTTGGCAGCTGGGCGCCGCTGGCCGGGCTGGGTGAGACCCCAGCCTCCGGCTCCCGGCTCTCTGCAGGGCCGTTGGTCTTTTGGAAAGCGATGGGGGATATGGTACATTATTTCTAGAGGTGGTGGGAGGGATTTGTCGCCGGAAGTGAATGGCCTACCCTGAAGTCAGGACCAACCCGAGATGTGGGTGGGCAGCCAAGACCGCGCAATCACTGGCAAAAACCCCACACAGCCGGCTGCTCGGGCACCGCACCCCGGGTACTGTGTTTCAGCCCTGCACTGCTCCGAGGACTCTTTGACCTGGCCCGCCCTTCCCTTCTTTGATTTCTCCCTTATCTCCCTCGTACCCAGCCTCCACAGTTTTTTAATTGGAGTATTTAGCTGCCCAAGAAACTTGAAGTTTCACCCATCTACTTGCATTTTGATGCAGAGAAAGCTGTGAGGAAACCACCTATTGAATTAAATCCTAATTAAAACTCATCTCCAATTTTCACGCCCCACGCTCCTCCTTTCATTCCCATTTAAAACAAAGGAAAACACACAGAGCATTTCTCCTGTGAGAGTCAGGGCAGGTTACACCGTGTGGCAATTTATGCGCGGGGGGTGGGTGGGCGGGCGGTAGTCTTGTGTATTTGTGTGTATGTGCATGCACCTGATGGGAAAGGGGGTGCCAAAAACAATGGTGCTTCAGCTTGTAGTAAATATTCAGTGTTTTTATTAGTTTTGTTTCATGGGCACGATAAAGCTCTTTTTTTTTTTTTAATTTAAAGCAGGTTTCTTTTACAAAACTCTTAAGTCTGAGGCTGATGAATGAAATAGCTGGTTATCTTGTCCAAGTCATACAGAGGAATGCAATAGCTGCTTTATTTTATGAAATGTTCGTTTAACCAAAGAAGGTTTAGAGAATTCGGGGAGAGGGGTAGCTTGCTTCCCTTAAATTTTTCAGCAGTTGAACCTATCCCACTCAAATTAAGAAAGTTTGTAGCCAAAAATGGTTTATTGGACTTGACAGCTGTAGTGAGATAACTTTTCCATATTAAGCATAGTGGAATCTATGTGCGTTAAAGTGTTGGTTGTATCAGAAGTGAAATTGAGTGTCGTGAAACCCTTTTAAGAACTTCATTTCTGCCTATCACCAGGTTTTTGCTTAGAGTCCAGTAGATTTTGGAAGTTTCTGAATATTTGCAATTGGTTAGTTCAGACTTTAAAGAGAAGAATTGGTAAAGGAGAGAAGTTGATGGGTGGCCGGGTTGACCTAGTGTGTTGGGGACAGTTTCTAATACTGATGTGTGGTCTCAGTTGGAGTGGAGAGGGGATCACTGATGTTGTCCTTGTGAAGAATTTGCTTTAGAGTTCTTTATAGCCCCCAGTACAGCTGCAGATCAAGGTAGGTGATCAGGACTTGGATATAAAGCTACATTTCTGAGTTCAAACACAGTAGGAAGGCTGTGAAACTTCTGGCATCGCCAGACTGTGTTTGGGTCCTCTTTCTGACATTTGAGGACAGTAGATTCAGCGTGCATCCTTAAAATGGATCCCCGCTTCCCAGAGGTAAGTGCCTATTCTGATGGAAGGAAAGGAGGATGCATGACAGGGTAAAGGTAACAAAAAGCAAGAAGCTGTGAAATCTGCATCCTCCTGTCAATGAGGCCTGGAAGGGCTTGTGAATCATAGTACTGCTCTCTCTTGTAGACATCTTCAAAAATGATGGAATGGACTGTAACAGCAATTTAAATACGTTATGGTTCTAGTTGTTAGTTAGACTTTTTTAACTTTTTGAAAATTTCCAACATATATAAAATGGAGAGAGTACTATGAGAGTGTTCCCAGAACCCATGTGTCTGTCATCCAGCTTTAGTAGTTATCACCTTATGTTAATGAAATAAGCTAAGCACAGAAAGACGAATCAGTCGGGTGCAGTGGCTCACACCTTTAATCCCAGCACTCTGGGAGACATAGTGAGTGGATTGCTTGAGCTCAGCTCAGGAGTTCAAGACCAGCCTGAGCAAGAGTGAGACTGTCTCTACCAAAAACAGAAAAATAAACCTGGCAATAAATAAATGGAATCCCATGTTTGTAGTTGTATGCCACAGGAAATAAATGAGTAGTGAAAGCATTTAAGCAAAATAAAACGGTCTTTGGGTATGCTGAGACAGCAAAGGCGAAGGCCCTTTGGTGTTCTGTGGAGTTTGTGAGACCCTGTGCTGGTGGAAGAAGCCTCACAGCTAGGCAAATAGAACAGATCAGGACCAGTTTTCTAGTAACTCTATGCTAGAAAGAGGTATCACCTATTCATCCTTTAGTCAGTACTGAATACACAGAGAGTACCAAAAAAGTACACACATTTTAAGAAAGGAAAGAACTATATTAAAATTGTAATACTCAATATATACCAATTATGTTTGTTATCTTCTTCTATCTCTTGTAATTGCAGAAGTCTAATGTGACTTGAGTATTACAATTTTATTTATCAATTTTTTATTTTTAGTTATTTATTTTGAGACAGAGTCTGACTTTGTCTCCCTGGGTAGAGTGCTATCATATCATATCTCACAGCAACCTCAAACTCTTGGGCTCTAGAGATCCTGTTGCCACAGCTTCCTGAATAGCTGGGACTAATGCCCAGCTATTTGTAGAGACGAGGGGTCTTGCTTTTGCTCAGGTTGGTCTCAAACTCCTGAGTTCAGGTGATCCACCTACTTCGGCCTCCCAGAGTTCTGAGCTTATGGGCGTGAGCCAGTGTGCCTGGCCTGAGTATTACAATCTTAATGTAGTTTTTTCCTTTCCTAAAATATGTATTCACTTTTAGGTCACCATTTGCATATGAGTGTAAAGCAGTCTTTAAAGAGCTCCATACATTAAATATCACATGTTAGGCAAATCTTCCTAGTCAGTGGCTAACTTTTCTGGCACAACAACAATGAAAGATGACAGCCATGAAGGCATGTTTTGTTGTTGAAAAGGTTTCATATTTGTCTCGGTAGCAGGACAGGAGCAGCCCCTTCCTTCTGTCCTTGCTCCCTTCCTCCCTAGTACCTTTTATATTCTGGAACTTTTTTCAGGCATTAAGTATCATTGTATACTTAATGTCTAACACAAAGCCTGAAACTTGTGTATTTATCTAACTTTATTTATTAAGCACTATGTCCAGCACTGAGCCAGGGAGGCCCTAAGGCTGCCAAGGTTAATCAAGACATAGTCCCTATATCCCTTAAAGAGATCTATTCAGGACAAATAACCCCACAAACTCGTAAAATTATGACAGTGACAACTAATAACTGTTATAAAGGAAAGAGGCACCTGGAGGCCACTAGTGGAGGGTGGACCTTGTTGGGAGGTCACTGAAGGCTTTGTAGAGGGGTGAGCTGAAGCTGGAAGGATGAATAGGAATTATCAAGGAGAAGTGAACATGGAAAAGTGTCCTTTGGGTCTGTGCCTGTACCTCAGAGCTAGGGCACTGGCCACATACACTGGGGCTCGTAGGTTCGAACCCGGCCTGGGCCTGCCAAAACAACAGTGACAACTACAACAAAAAAAATAGCCAGGCGTTGGCTCGGTGCCTATAGCTCAACCGGCTAAGGCGCCAGCCACGTACACCTAAGGTGGCGGGTTCGAATCCCCAGCCCGGACCCGCCAAACAACAATGACG